CGACTCTGCAGCCAACTGCATTCTAGATTTCGCTCGGTCAATCTCTACCAGGACCTGAATGAAAAAAAAAATATAATGTTGCCCATTGAAACAAAAGCTGACTGCCACAGATATATTATGGGAGTTATTTTTGGCTTGAATTAAAAAAAAAAAAAAAGTGTGAAAAGATCATGCCATTACAAAGAGGAAGGATTTGGTTGAAAGAGCTACAGATGTTAAACCAACTTCCAAAGTCAAACACAAAGGGTTAGTTTGAAATCTGGATTGTACTTTTAATATCCACTTTATCTCAAAAGTGGATACACGCCCCAGCTAACAGGGCAGAAACCTGGGCAGAAATTAGTGTCCCCAAACAGGTAACATCTACTCTGAAACATGATCAGCTGTTCCTCAGGAAATGCAGATTGCACTAGGCTGTGTCACGCCCACTTTTCTACTATTAATGCTTAAAGGGGTGGTTTTGTCTACCTTGAGTTCAGGAGATTGTTTAACACGAACAAGTCTGGAAACTCCAAAATTTCACAAGCTGCACGTAAACACTAAGTAAGACAAGAACCTGCCTGCATTGACTGAGCAGTGTCTTCTTCAAATTTCTTTATATCTTCTTTAACAAGGATCATTTGCTCCTTCAGGAATGTTGCCTCCTGTTTCAAGACTTCCACTTCCCGGAGGACCCTGGGCATGTTCTGGAGAGCCTGATGGCTCGTTTCTACAGAAACACCAAGCAGTACAGTCAGGAGAGCCTGAGAACCCTTGCAGGAAAGAGGGAATATAATCTTCAATACTTGGGGAAGAAAAACAAACAAACAACAAAGCAAAAAGGCGAACAACAAAACTTTAGGTGTATCTGTAAAGTTTAAATATGTACTTTATTATAGAGTCATAGAACCATTTAGGTTGGAAAAGGCCTTTAAGATCACCGAGTCCAACTGTTAACCTACCACCAGCAAGTTACCACTAAACCACGTCCTTAAGTGCCACATCTACATGTCATTTAAACACCTCCAGGGATGGTGACTCCACCCCTTCCCTGAGCTGCCTGTTCCAATGCTTGACAACCTTTTCAGAGAAGAAAAAGGCCTTTAAGATCACCGAGTCCAACTGCTAACCTAACACCAGCAAGTTACCCCTAAACTACGTCCCTAAGTGCCACATCTACATGTCATTTAAACACCTCCAGGGATGGTGACTCCACCCCTTCCCTGAGCTGCCTGTTCCGATTCCTGACAACCCTTTCAGGGAAGAATTTTTTCCCAATATCCAATCTAAACCTCCCCTGGCAGCTGTTTCTCTCTGTTTAGAGCGGGTCAGTCAGGATACAGAGATTATAGAAACACACCGGTCAGTGCTGGAGAGGGAGGAAAGGTTAATTAAAGTAATAAAACCCACATTGGATGCAAATGGACGCGTTTACAAGCCAGCAAAGGGTCAGGCCGCCCGACGATGGAGCCGGCCGGTAGCCCCCGCATCCCACCTCACCTTCCACCGCGTTGTTGACCTCCTGGATGAAGAGCTGCAGCTTCATCACCAAAGTAGCGGCGTGAGCGTCCACCTTCCCGGGGGCTTCCTGCTGCACGGCCCGGAAAGCCGCGTTCACCCAGCTCTTCACCTCAAAGTCATCCGACAGGAACCGGGAGAAATCCATCGCCGCCCGCGAAAGGGGACAAGGCCCCGCCGGGGAACAAGGCCCCACCACCACAGGCCGCGGCCTCCACCGGCGACCAGGAAACGCGTCCACAAGGCCCTTACCGGCCACCGTAGCCGCAGCGAGGAGGCGGCCACCGTTTAGCGGGGCCGGGC